CGATTCAGTAGGCAGTTAGATATGGTGTGTGACCCTAAGCCTGCTGATCCACAAGCAGTTCTCAATAAATTCAGTGGGACTTTCTAAGCATGATTAGGGTTGTACCCATAGCTAATTTAATGAAAAAGATACATTTACTTAGGTAATTCTAGCAGTTTTCTTTGAAAAGAGTAGGTGATAAAATAAGACCAAAGTTTTCTTAATCATAAATGGTACCAAAAGAGCTTCTCTCCCAATACGAATAGCAGCTTTGGAGGAGTGATTTTCATAAGAACTGCAGCCTGTCTGTGTTGGGGAAATAAACTCCTTTCACTATGGCCCTAATGCTGAGTGGGCCCTCCAGATGTTGATGAACTACAACTCCCATCAGCCCCTGCAGGCATGACCAATGGCCAGAGATAATGGGAGTTGTAGTTCAGCAACATCTGGAGGGCCAAACGTTTTCTACACCTGCTCTAGTGGTTGCTAGTTGTGATTTTTGTTTTTTAATGCTAATTATATTTCACAGCAGTTGTAGTTTGGCTCTACATATTTGTGCTTCTTGTACTTGTAGCTGTTGTTTATATCATGGACAAAATTAATTTTGTTCTTTCCTCTAGGATCCCAAAGAGAGGCTTGGCTGCCAACCACAAACTGGATTTTCTGATATCAAGTCTCACACATTCTTTCGCAGCATAGACTGGGATCTGGTAAAGTTCAATTTCATATGTAACCCATTGTGGTGGTTCTTAGTTTAAAGTATTGATGCAAGCCAATATCACACTTAGCAAGTACTCTGTCAAAAATCTACAAGAAAATACAAACAAAAATCTACAAGACTCAAGGCAGGGTACAGATGAAAATGTCTTGCAAACTTTAAAAGGAGCGGTTTGTAATGTTCTGACAGCTACCCCATTCTACTGTTAAACTGCTTAGGAAACTTAAATAAAAGGTCTGGAATAGTTAAACGTAACCTGATATAAACAGATGGACTCTAGGCTCTAGGATATCAAATGTTATGCTAACTGTTGGAATATCTTAGCAAAAATTAATTCCAGGTGGGTAGCACAAATTCATTGGCTTGAGTCCACTTCATCAGGTACACTTCAAATACAGCAGAAGCAGCATTTGGGTGAGAGATGGTTTGTAATGGGAACCAATTTAGAGCAGAGAAACACACAGACTTCACCACATCCAGCAGATGTCTTTCCCAGGACATAGCTTCCATATAGGCCTGCAGCAAACCGGCCTGTTTTCCTAGCTTCCCCACAATGAAGAGGACCAGAGATGTGCATTATGAAAAAGAACAAACCCAAAGGGTTCTTAAGTTTCTGTCTCTTTCTCTGCATTTCAGCTGGAAAAGAAGCAGGCAACCCCTCCATTTCAGCCTCAGATCACAGACGATTATGGTCTGGATAACTTTGATACCCAGTTCACCAGCGAACCTGTGCAGCTAACTCCAGATGATGAGTATGTTCTAATGTTGTTATGCATGCTTTATAAGAAATGTATATTATGCAGGTCTTTAGACGTTATCAGATCTGATTTTGTGTGGACTGAATAGCTACTAAACCTGGTTATGCTCCTCATCGAAATAAAAGAGTGATAGAAGAGGCTTCTGTTTTGGCAGCCATATATACTTCCATTAAAAAAAAATTTAGCAAATGTTCACTATGTAGAAAGGTAGCATACAATTTCCACATCTTGCATCACTTCATGTTCCCTGCTTTTCTAACATTGGGAATGAAAAATGTACGTTTCTTTGTCTTTAGGCTGCTCTTATATGGTTAGTCTTTGCTAGGGATCAGGATCCAAAGGATTGGAAGTGTATTAGGGTTTTTCCTCCCTCCTGCTGCAACCCCTTGAGATCCCCTAGAGGAACATCTGATGTCACATGAGGAGCAGCAGCTAGAAAACAAAGCAGGCAGTTTTCCTTTGTCACAAAGGCATGCACTTCAAGCTGTTGAGATTCCAGTCTGAGGTATCTCCACACTGATGAGATTTGTACCTGCACAGAACAACTTGGCAGATTTGCAGATTTAGTCAGTAAACTGATGCTCACACCTCCGTCCGTGCAAGGGGAGGTGCTCATAGTGAAAGGTGTAGCATGTGTGCCTTTCCACTCACTCTTCTAACTATCACAGTAGCTTTGTAAAACACTCCACACTGAAGTGCTCACTTTAGTCTTTTAGTTAGATCTGTTTCGTCTGTTATTTTCCTTTCCTTTGGCCTCAAGTCCCAGGTTACTGCTGTTGGTCTGTAAATGTTTAGCAGAAAGTTACAACTTGGGCAGCTGTGTGTCTGTAGTGTAGTAGCCAATCCTCAAGTACAGCCACTTTTGTGAATGGAAGCTCCCCATACGGTCTGTTTGGCGCCTCAAAACTGAAATCAAAGGCTTTGGCAGCAGATTTGGAAATGGTGTTTTGATCTGGGTCAGCAACTTCTGCCATTTGCTTTCTAGAGTTGCATACTCTTGCAATGAACTGTATCCCCCCACCCCACCCTGGTGCCACCACATATTCTGGGGCTTCAGTGTCATGCTGCCAAACCCTTCTCGTGGCTTTTTTTTACCACTGAGAGGTGAAAATGCCTTCGGTGATATCTAAATACTCTGCAAAGAAGGAGGCAGATTCCAGAGCCGAGTGTAAGATGTCATCTATGCAGTTACGCAACCTTCCTCCATTGCTAATACCTCTTTCATCTGGCAGTGGTTAGAATCGGAGTGGCAAACCTGTGCCGCTTCAGATGTTGATCTCCCAACTCCTGTCAGCCCCAGACAGTATGGCCAATGCCCATTGTTAAGATCGCAGAAGGGAAGGACGTCTCTTGCAAAGACCTGTTTCTTGTTGTCTGATGTAGAGGTATATATCCTTTTAGAACATCCAAATTTCTTGCCAAGGCTTTACAAATTCGTTTAATAAAACTAAACGGGGAATGGGAAATTATTTATCCTGTTAAGGTCGGGGACTAGAAATGTAAACCACTATTATTAGCAGTATCCTTGTTATTAATATTTTTGTGTTTGTAGTCGTGGCTGCTCGCTAAACACAATAAATTGAACTGACTGACTCAGCTGGCTGACAGTATAGCCAATAGTCGGGGATGGTGGGAGCTTTAGTCCAGCAATACTGTATCTGGAGGGCAAAGGATGAGCCCACCCCTAGGTTAGAAGAAACTGAGTGGGATGGTGCTTATCCTATTGTTTTATGCATTGCAGGGGGTTGGATTAGATGACCTTCGGGGTCCCTTCCAACTCTACAGTTTTATGGTATGTCCTTTTCTAGGAAGGATAAGCACCAGTTCTCCCTGCTACAGAAGTTCTAGAGACTTCTGTAATACCTCTGCACAAGTGCAGATCCCTTCTATATGGCTGCACTGATGACCATTCAGAGGTAGAATTGTGTGTCTTACAAAACACCAAAATGGTTGCAAACAAGAGATAATTGTGTATGTGTGTGTGTTCCATTTTCAGAGATGTAATAAAAAGAATAGACCAGTCGGAGTTCGAAGGATTTGAATATATTAATCCATTGTTGCTGCAAACTGAGGAAACAGTATGAGAGAATGGCATCGACACAGAGGACAAATAATGTGAATGAACTTTGACATTTAATCCTTAACAACAGTATATGCATGCAAGGCTGGGGTAAACTGTAAGGTTTTGAGTGGAGACCAATGATGATAATTGCTGCTGAAAAATCAAAAAAACATGATTTTGGTAGGTGTCTTCCTCTTATTTTTTTTTGGAAAAAAAGAAGTTTGGGGCACTGACAGAGCTGGCTTCACAAAGAAATCTGCATTTCGTGCCTGCTTCATCAAGGATCAATAGTTGTTTGCATCCTTGGAAGAGAGATTCCAAACCACTTTCAAAGCTGCACGCTTCTGATGGACATTTTCATGCAATGAGCTACTAGAACAGTGTAACATCCTGAAGAATAAAATTGTTAGTGGTGTTGAAGCTTACTTTAGATGCCTTTTTTCACAAGTGGTACCTATCTTAAATGTCTGTTTTATATATATATATATGTATTACATATATATATATAATGTGGAATAAAAGGAGTTGTGTTTTATTAGCAATTAAAACAAGTTTGGGTACAGTATTAAGTGCCTAAATGGATAAACTGCATAAAAATATTCCGTATTTGGTACACTTGATAAACCCTGGTAAAGAAAAAAGTAGTATTTTACACATGGAACATAACAACTAACAGCTGCTATCTAACATTAACTTATATCTTCATAGAACTTTTAGACGGGACTTGGATCTCAGCAATAACAATTCCAAATTAGAATTTATCAATTGAAATATCTAGATTATGTTTAATGTGGGAGAAACAAAATTTACCAAAATCTCATTAGAAAATTTAAATTTGCACATGGTGGATTTCTGAAAATACTTGAGCAGTGCCTACAATGTCTTGTGTTGTATACTAGATTTTTGAATAATATTTTTATCAATGCAATATTCAAAAGGAACAATGGAAGTGTAATAGATCATAGCCTTAAAGTTTTAAAGAAATAAATTATAGGATATCCATCAACATATTGCATTTTTTTTCTGATAAAGCACACCTCCTATTTAAAACTATCTGCTTTGAAATGTTCAGCATCTTGTCACTAAGCTCTACAGGAGGATGTTTGGTAAACACAACACTCAAAGCAGTAATATAGTGATGGAGAAAATGAACAGATGTATAAATATTGTATGACTATAATGTCCATATTTCCTCTTTTGAAAATGGAGGATGTTGCATCAGGTTAATTGTCTGTCAGCTTTGGGAATAAAAATGTGTCCATTCGTGTGAGGACAAACAAGGGCACGTTGCTATCTAAAACCATTCAGAATTATTGGTCTCTATGGGAGATAACAAGACACCATATTTCTTTTTTTAGTAGATTTTCGTTGTAACTCCATTGAGTAGCTTGCAGTTCTGGGGAAGAAAATTCTTCAGGAAGGAGAGAAACCCTGTGTGCCATGATATCTCACCCAATTCGGTATAAAATGCAAGACAACTTGCAACCGTTTTCACATTACTTTTATTGTATAGGTTTCTCAGGGTACAGCATTACATTAGGTGCTGAACATGACATCTCAGTTGCATTCAAGTCCATGAGGTGCTAGGATAAGACTGCCAAATCATGGTATTGAACAATATTTCAAAGAACCATCAGTTAAGACTATATTTTGTATGTCCCTTACCCTGACCACTGAATTAACGCACATCTGTGATAATTCAACTTTATTAGTCCCATCCAGAGTTGTTGAAAGTTGCTCTCCGAACTATCTTTTTTGTATTAAGCAACATATGTTCTAACCAGCACTAAGTAATTCAGTTAGATGTACTTTCCTCAAATGCTTGGGGTTTAGATAACCAAGTCACCTAGCTAAGAGAGAGTCTTGATTTCTTTTTAATTGAATCATGCAAAAGATTTGAATGCCATTTTTCTTCTTCTTCTCCTTGGTGAACCCTGACTGGTCTGTGTCTCTGTATCTTGGATTCTCAGTGTTCCCTGAATGTTTTGTGTCTCTGTATCTTGGATTTACAACTGAGCAGCTGGTTTTGCATGGTGATGTGACCTACGGATGCTGTCTGGTTCTGGGGCTAAGGGGGCTAGGCAAAACATGAAGGGTTCTTTGCCCTGAACTTCTGTGATATCAGAACATTAGAGTAGGGCGAGTACACACACTTGCTCAAGACAAAAACAAATCCTTGATTTATTTACAATTGAAGGCAATTTACAATGTTGCTGTGTTGCCAAATAAGTTGCTGGTTACAAGTCAGTTGCTTGTGTGCAAGTGTATGACTAATGTTCTGTTCATGATGAAGGGGAAATTTTTTATATAAAGTACTTGTTTTATAAATTAAAGAACAAATGAAGGATGTAATTAAATGTGTGGTTTAAAAAAAATCCTAATATATTGCAAATGGATCTGGTAATGATATAATTGTCTTAGTATGTAAATGAAATGTAAATGAAAACACTCTAGCTAATTTAATGATTGTAAAACAGTAAATATGTTCTTGTAGTTTTGTATAATTAACTAGTTGAGATCTTTGGCCAGTTTTATTTGTGCAAAAGATGGTATACTAACCCGTAAACAGCTAAGATCATTTATATTCTTGCACATCTATTAAAGACTTTAATGAAAAAGTTTAGACTAATTGTTTCACTAAGCAGACATTTCCCATATAATTTGCTTTGCCACATGTTCCATGTGCCAAAAGGACTTCAACATTTTATACCTTTGTATGCTATACTGAATTTATTGTTTTGAAGAAAACCGTGACAAAAACAGATCTTCTATTTTAGGCTCTGTTACTTAATGTTAAAATACTTCTTACTGGCCTGTTACTGATAAGATCAGCATTATTCTTGTTGTAAAGGTAATAACAGGTTCAGTTTGTATCAGGTACCAGGTCTTGGTGAACTTGTGCTGAATTTGCTAAGGTATTTGTGAAGCTATACAGTAAACTGACTGAGTATCTTAATGAAGTACATCGTACAAAAGCATTAGTGAGCAATCTGAATAAACACACAGAAATTGCAGCGGAGGAAAACTGCTAGCTATCTTTTTATTGAAAACTTTGTGGCTGGATGACTATTTAATTTTCAACAAACCTCATCCCCTAAGCACCCTGAAGCCGATAATTTTGTTATTAGATTTTAAACTCTGTACAGTCATGGTTCATAATATGTCCCATAGAGAACATACACTTCAGTAGTGCTTTTACTAGAAACATAAGTCATGTGCATCCAGACTTCACTGAGGTTCCCAGACATTTACAGTACTGACCCGATAGCAGGATACACATAATGAAATATGACATGGCACTTAACCACCTCCTTCTTTAGTTTTTTTTTATCTGTGGTAAATTGCTGCAAATTTATTGACTACTAAGAACCATTGGCTGTTCTCTGCTATCTTCTTTGTTACCAAATTACATCTACGTCACTTTCAGACAAACATTTAGCAAGATGACCATCAATGTCCAGTTTTGACCACCTGAAATTGAAAAACAGAATTATCAGACTTGCAGATTTTAGTATATGCATTTATGGCCTTTCCTTCCCCATGCGATCTCTAGGCAGGTTAGATAACACTGAATGTCAATTTGGCTGTATCGTGCAGGAAGAAATATCATCAGTAAGAAACACTGCAGAGGGAGTGATACTCTGAACCATAGCTGTCAACTTTTCTCTTTTGTGAGGAATCCTATTCGGAATAAGGGAATTTCCCTTAAAAAAGGGAAAAGTTGACAGCTATGCTCTGAACTCATCCTTCATCCCATCCCGAAGTCATGTGCAAAAAGGTGTGTCTTGATATGCTGCAGTGTTAGAAACAGAGATATTAAAGCTAGGCACCTAAATGGCACCTTAAACCTAGGTTATGGGTGCAACAACGGAATGTCTAGGCACACTTTTTTATAATGAGAATACAAAGCTGAAAATGGATGAACTGCAGCTAAAATATTATGTTCATTTTTCACATGGTCTAGTCCTGCCCCTGCCCCGCCCCTAATATTCTTCAGAGGGTCTTTTCTCCAATCTTCAGAAAGTAGCTGGAAGTGGGGAGGCAGAAAAAGGTCCTCCTTTCCTTCCACATTGCAGTTTTAATCTGAAATCTTAGGTGCAGTACTGCGCCCGGAGATCAGAAACTGCTCATGCTAATGAAATTCCCTGTCGCAAAATGCGCCTAGAACAATGGGAGTTTCGAACACTGGTCTGTTGCCAAAATGCACCTCGGAGGGGTGGAAGGGCCTTCCACAACCTGGAGGCCACCACTGAAGACCCTCTCACACCCTGCGGCAGAACCATCAGCCATCCCTCTCCTGTAGATCTTAACGCCCAGGAGGTGTTACATGGGAAGTAGTACATCTCAATTTTGTGTTGAAATGAGGAAAAAATGGCATGCAAATTAGGGTATTAAAAATGTGTTGAAATCTCTCAATACAAAAAAATAGTGTTTCAATTTTGCGTTTGTTAGGGGAAATCTTCCATGTGTCGTTTACTAACAATTTCTACCTTCCATCCTCCATCTGGCAAGAGCAGCCAACACCCTTTTCTGTCTTCCCATTGCTTTGTGCCCCAATTTCTTCCTATTGGATGTGGCAGTGTTTCTCAAACTTGGGGTCTCCAGCTGTTGTTGAACTGCAGTTCCCATCATCCCTCACCACTAGTCTTGCTAGCTACCTAAGGACAATGGGAGTTGCAATCCAACAACACCTGGAGACCCCAAATTTGAGAAACACTGGATGTGGTCACTTCAATGTGTGTGTGTTGTGGATGTCATGAAGAACTGAAAAATGAATTTGAGTAACATAACCAATACTTACTTTCCAGTAAAGTGGATCTGACACATGGGACACTGGCTGAGAGCTAATATTTCCTCCCTGTGGTCCTCTGTTTTTTCTTGGTTGCCGACACTCAAACAAAGAGCAGGAGATTCCTGCACAGGTAACACTGATGTGGCATTGTTAGGCTGGCACAACAAAGCACTTTGCTTATCATCATTTGATAGTATTTTATTTTCCTTTCTGCTTTTTCCTTCACTCTGTGTTGTACCCCCTTTCCAAAGCTTTTCAAACACAAATACTCTTGGCTGGCTCTGTGCAGCTATTGATGAATGTCCTGGTGAATTCTGCTGGGTTGAGTGCAGGCACATTTCAATCATTTCTCTACCTTCCAGCTTAGAGGAAAGATGATTGTTGTGTCCAGTTGTTGTTTCCTCAGCAGTATATTTACCAGCTGGAATGGGGTTTTGCTTGGGAACAGGAGAAATAATACTGAGTCTCCCATCTGCATCATTTCCTCTTTCTATCAAACTAAGAGCTTGATTTTCAGGAGGCTTTTTACTTCTTGAATTATTTGTGTGGTGACGTGGAAATGGAGTCCACTGAAACTGTTTCATTCCAATGTCAAATGTTTCTGGGGCTGGCTGAGGATTTGTAGTTTGTGAGCTCTGAAACACAGACAAATTAAAGTTTTGCTAACTATGTAGATTCAGAAGAATATTTAAAAGAGGAAAGCCAGTAAGATACCATAACCAGTGCTGGGTTTGAATGTGGAAAATACAGTTTGAAAGAGCTCCCAAGGTATGATCTATCACTTACGGTTCGAATACAGAAGATTTTTAACCACACTTCATGAGTTTATCCAGCTTAACAATGGCAGGATGTTTGTGTTATCACCAACACAGCCTTGTTTAAGTGTCACTGTAACTATTGTGCCTTTGCATAATTACCACTGTCCCTTTTGCATTTTGCTTGCCTCTGACTTTAGTCCTCACCATTCTGCCTTACCCATGATGTGTATGTGCGTGTGCATGTTGTCAATTTGAGATTACGCTTCATGCATCCAAGGTGGATTCTGATCAACAAAAGCTTATGCCATAATAAATTTAAGTCTTTACAGTTCCACAAGACTGTTTTGCTTTTCTTTCATTCTCTAGTGGCTCCACGGTGGAAACAGCCTTTAGTTCTGTCAAGTATCTCCTCCTGGTTGACAGGCATGGAAATTAATGGACGTGACTAACTTGGGCCTATTAATTTCAATGGGTCGACTCTGAGTAGCACTTAGATGGATTCAACTCTTGTGCACACGCCTACCCGCTTCCTCCCAAAACCAGTTAAGTGTGTCATCAGTGTCTTGTGACCATGTTTCAGGACTTTAAAGCCAAAACCACTGCCAGAGGCATGTCAGTTTGGCATAATAGGAGTGTAGGCTGCCTCTTCTGCAAGTTTGACATGAGATGCTGTGGCAGGAATGGGGGTGGTACTTACTCCCATTCCAGTGGTCCTCCTAAACCCCTGCTTTTGCCACAATTCAGTCTCACTCCCCAAACCTGCACTCGACAATAAGAATAGGCATACCTTCTATACTCTTCCATACTAAAAATCGTAACACCAACCCTTCCTCACACCGCTCAGTTAAGGCCCCAAGCGGCAGTGAAACCAACTGTCACAGGACCAAACAGAAAACTTCCCACATCAAATGTATTATTACACAATGCCCATTAAAACTTAATACAAATATGCAGGATTTCGGCATGGGCAGTTGTGGGATATGGTGGCCTTTTTATGCTGTGCTATTACTGCTATGCTTGTAGCTACTTTTTATTACATCCAAATGTGGCTTGAGATGCCAACTGCCTCTCTCCATTTGAAGCAGATCCTGCAATTTGTCATATATGGCCTTGTTTCATGTGCTGCCTCCATGAGATATCCAGTGGGTGGCAACACAACAGGCCTTTTCAGTGGCGATTGCCCACTTATGGATCCAGCTTTTTAAAAATAGAATTGCCTTTTAGAGATGTCTTTGTTTTATGCCGGTTATAATGCGTGTGTTTGTTTATATATTGTAAGGCACTTTGAGTTACCTTGGTAAGAAAGTGACAAATAAATTTAATAAATAGTAATCCAAATGATTTTATATATTGGTTGTTAGACTGGGAGTATGAGTTTGTGGCCCAGAGTTATTTTATTATGCCACTGCTATACATTTTGTGAATTTTGTACTGATTAATTGAATTGTCAAACCATGTTTCATATTGTTTGCATTTCCCCTCCTATTATTGTCATTTCTGTTAGCATCAGCCACTTTGGGCTTCTTCCTGGAGAAAAAAAAGGGGGGTACAAATAAAATGATGACGTGTGAAGTACAGCCTCTTGTCCAACTTTATCCTCCTAAAGTTCAAGGCTAAATGCAACAAGTTTGGCTTTCTGGCAGGTTTTACTGATGACTCTGACAGGCTCAGTGTATCACAGTCAGCATCAACTGAGAGGGTTCCTTCCATTGTATCACATTCTGGAAGGCATTATAAAAAGCAAATTAGGGCAGTGGGGAGCTTCTCTAATATCAAAGCCATTACCTTCAACCTTATTTTCAATTATTTTTCCATTGCATTCATTTAAAGTGAATGAAGATGAGGACTTGTTTTTAATCTTGAGATAGTATCTTAATGGTCAATAAGTATCTTAATGGTTAATAATAATTCAAAACACGTTTTACCTTTGTAAGAAACTTGGGAAGGTTGACTACTTTTTCTAAACTCAAGCGATGCAGGTGTGGCTCCACAGACTTGAGTAATGTCATCCACGCGATTTCAGCACCGCTTAAGCCTTGCTCTTCAAACCAGCAAGAGCTGCTGGAAAATGTACTACAAAACATAAAACTCAGGAATAGCATCATTTCTCTTGTCAGAACCAACCTGGTACAGCTGAAGCCACTTGCAAGCTTGGAGTGGAATTGTTGAGAATCCTACATTTGCGAGGCAATCTTGGTGACTGCACACTGAAACCAGTATGAAAGACAAACAGAGAAGGCTCCCTTTTAAGGTGCTCTCGATTGAAAAATTCCACACCTGTAACAGTAAACTCTTCAAAAAACAACAACCTCTAAGTGGCCACTATTTGCAAACATCAGGTCCTTTGGTCTAAAAATGAAACAGGAGACAGATGTAGGCTACTGCTGTAGTACTATGCAACATAACCAAAGCCTAAATGTGTGGCTTATGTTATTTAACTTACAATTGTGAATAATAATATCAAATTAATTAGCCTCTAGTGATGACAAGTCTTGCTCTACTTAATCCTAATCATAAAAACCTGAGGCACTTAACATATACACTCGATGGACACTCCTCGCCTCTCGTACACAATGACCTCTCAGATTCTTGTTCACCTGCACACCCCTTGCACATGACCGATTCTTAGGTAAGTTTCGAGCATTTATTACAACGTTCTGTTAACTGGTCTGCGTTGACAGCAAAACAAAACTGTTCTGAGGATTTTTAATAGGTCGTGTATTAATATTAATACAATATACAAGTTATGTTATATGAGAACAGCCCTCATCATCCTCATAACAAAACCCTGAGGCTTTGCCCCCCTTTTTAATGCACATCTAATTCCTCTTGACGCTCAATCACCTAAACACTCCCATAATACAAATCTTAAAAGGAGAGGTTTTTGTGTGCCTTTACTGCTGTAACACGTTTATTGGCTTAACCTATTTTGTTCTATTGAATGATCTTTTAAATCTTATATTCAAGGGGCTCATGCAGGGCCGGATTTAGGTTTGATGAGGCCCTAAGCTACTGAAGGTAATGGGGCCCTTTATATGTCCAGCTGTCCTTTGTCAACAACAAATTGTCGCAGTTTTTTGTGTTGGATATACTGTATGCTATATGGTGGCCACTGGTCCCATCACCTCCTGGCAAATAGAAGGGAAAGAAATGGAGGCAGTGAGAGATTTTACTTTCTTGGGCTCCATGATCACTGCAAATGGTGACAGCAGCCACAACATTAAAAGATGCCTGCTTCTTGGGAGAAAAGCAATGACAAACCTAGACAGCATCTTAAAAAGCAGAGACATCACCTTGCCGACAAAGGTCCGTATAGTTAAAGCTATGGTTTTCCCAGTAGTGATGTATGGAAGTGAGAGCTGGACCATAAAGAAGGCTGATCGCTGAAAAATTGATGCTTTTTAATTATGGTGTTGGAGGAGACTCTTGAGAGTCCCATGGACTGCAAGGAGATCAAACACATCCATTCTTAAGGAAATTAGCCCTGAATGCTCACTGGAAGGACAGATCCTGAAGCTGAGGCTCCAATACTTTGGCCACCTCATGAGAAGAGAAGACTCCCTGGAAAAGACCCTGATGGAGGGCACAAGGAGAAGGGGGCGACAGAGGACGAGATGGTTGGATAGTGTTCTTGAAGCTACAAACATGAGTCTGACCAAACTGTGGGAGGCAGTAGAAGACAGGAGCGTGCTCTGGTCCATGGGGTCAGGAAGAGTCGGACACGACTAAACAACAACAACAACAATATGGTAATTTATGGACCTAATAGTTTATTTGCCTATTTGCACATAAAATATGTATTTTATCAAAGTAATTGTTACAACCAGTCTGTGCAGAACGTAGGCACCCTATATATAGAAATGAGCAAACCTGTGATATTTTAGGGAGCAAGCAGGGCCCATTACTTACATCATAGGAGCCTACACAGCACAAAACACTGTTGCTGTATGTAGGTTTTATTTTAGCTTGTATTTTTAGCTTGTATTTTGGAAATGTACCTCCAGTGTTGTTGTTTTTCCTTAAATTTTTGGGGGGCCTCCAGGAGAGGGGGCGGCCCTAAGATATAGCTTGTTTAACTTATAGGTAAATCTACCACTGGTCATGCCTTGTTGCAACTCGCCTCATTCCAGTTAACTTGAAGCATATGCATCTCTCTCTCGCGCGCGCGCACACACTCAGAGAACGATCCAATCATTCCACACTTATCCACCTGCGCGCGCGCATCCCACCCCGCGCCGCTGCATTCCTAGGCCTTGTGGCGGGCGCCTGCGCATTCGCGCGCAGACTCCCCACCCTCCCGCAGCGTGTCAGAAGGAATCCCAACCCGGACTCACGGTGCTCGGCGAGGAATGGCCGAGGGGCGTCGTTCCGCCTCTTCTTCCTCCTCCTGCTGCTGGTGCGGCTGCCGCCTCTTGCGCTTGAGGCTGAGCTTTCCTCCCCGGCTGCTGCCGCCGTGTTCAGCCCGCTCTTCGTCGGCCATAGCTCGGTCTCCTCTATCCCCCACCCCACAAAAAAAAAAAAACTCCCCTTGGGGAGGAATTAGGGGCCGCCTCCTTCCGAAAAGGCGGGAAGGGATTTTCTGAGGGGAGAGCTCGCTCGCTCAGCAGCCCCAGCTGGTGGCCAACGGGCCGCCCTGCTCCCAATGCGGCCGAGAAAATGGCGGGTTGTGTGGTTTTGTTTTTTTTAAAATATTACTCCCCCCCCCAGCCCCTTAAAAAAAATTATCGTCATCCTATGGAGGGCAAGGCTTCCACCCCCCCCCAAAAAAAGGAGCGCTCCCCACCCCAATTGCTGGGTTCCTGTCAGACTGTGTACTTTTTATTTCAGAGATCTTGACATGTGGGTCCCAATTCGCCCACTTCGAAATATACTCTGCCCCTTTTGCCTCCCTCTTATTTCCTCCCCTTCCCCCACCTCCATTACTGCCTTGCTAAACTTGGGAGGAAAATCCTACCCTCAAACAAACGGGTGCCTGGCAGGAGTGGATTTTAGTAGGCCAAAGCTGCTTAAACCTGATACAGCACAGCCCTGTTTACTCTGAAGTATGCCCTTGTTTTGCTCCTTAAGGAGAGTGTCGTTTAAAGGATAGGTTTCAAGCCTGAAACCTGCCTTGGGGTTGTGTTCCGTGTTCAGCCCTGCTCAGAGTAAGCACATCAGGTCGTCATTCCAGTAAGTCCTTCTCAAGAGTAATCCTATTGAAACAGATGAACCGAAGTCGTAGAGTCAGAAGTGACCCTGAGGGTCATCTAGCCCAACCTCCTGCAATGGAGGAATCACAACTAAATCCGTGACCGATGGCCATCCAACCTCTGCTTAAAAACCTCCAAGGAAGAAGCGTCCACCACCTTCCGAGGGATTCCACTTCCTAGTAGAACAGCAGAAAGTTCTTTCTGATGTTTAGTCGGAAATTCCTTTCTCGTAACTTCAATTAACTCAGAGCTGCTCTGAGTAGGACTAGAATGGGATACAAGCCATTGAAAATAACGGTCATGACTCACTTGGGTCCACTGACTTTACTGGGTCTGCTCTTCAAAGGGCTTAGGTACAGTTCATTTACTTTAGCAAGCGTTTGGGTGGGAATGTCTCAAGAAAGGGAGTTTCTGCACAGATGGAGGAAAAGGCTGCTTGAGAAAATTTAAGAACTTTAAACATTCTTATAGATTGGAATCTCTGGGCAGACTATATTTTTAAGGGGTTTCCATCTTTTTTCATGTTTCAGTTAATATCTGAAGTGTTGAATCAATGAGATCAGCTTGACTAATGTTTTCATACAGCTAGACAAACCTTTAAATTTGATTTGCAGATTTTGCATGGAGTTTGAGAAACCGTTTATAGATTGCTCTTCATGAATGTCACCCTAACGAAGTCTGCACATGGCATGAACATTAAGAAAGCATAAAAGGAAAAGTCCAACAGCAGGAAATAATTGCTTCATTGCCTCAAAACTGCAGCTGTAAAAACAAAAATGAAAAGTGTTTTCCTCCTAGTTCATACCTTTTTTTATAGCACTGTCTGCAAGCTGGAATGTAGTTATTTACCACTTGGTGGCACCAAATTATTAAAAATACTTCTTGAGAGTACAGTATTCTATTAACATTTTAGTAAATGGATTTAATTTTGGGGAACTAATATTTATTTCACGTTTATGTGTAATTGGAAAAAACTGATCCTAAGCCTCCACTGTCTTGTGGTATATTCATTTGTGAGAAAGGCTTTGGGATTAAATCCCAAGGAAAAAATTTGTACCTGCTGCCTTGTGGGACATATTTGGGAGAAATAAAGGCTAAGGAGTAAACCCTACACAAATCCAGAGTGCAGTTCCTAAGACAGTTGGATGGCGCCTTGTATGCCCTCCTTCTGGCAACTCCTGCAGCCAAGCTGGTTCCAAACGTATTGCTTTCCTTTCCTTTGGACTACATCAACAAAGTCATCCTGGAGGCCCAGAACCTTCATACACACTGCCCAGGCTTGCGCCCCGGAGAGGTCACTTTGGTGCTGCTAATGCAGCAAAAACAACGTGAGAGGTAGTAGTTATAAGTTACTCATCTCTGCAGCCACAGTAGGTGCTGTGATTCTCCAGTGGTTTGGCTTCACTCCCAGAGGCGCACTCCATTGTCTCTTGAGTCAGACAGACATCAACAATATGTGTATCGTCATATGCATGTATAGCACACATGGGTTTACCTGCACTGCATGTATTTGTTTTGTAGTATTTTATGCAATACCCAAAACCAGAACAAATACATGCTTAAAATTTGCATGTGCTAATTTATAGGTATAGATGCAATATTAGAAATAATTATACCTAGAACATAATGCGACCTGTGAGACTGCTAAAGTATGCTGACTGTTGATGGGCAACCTCAGTGCCCCTTCTTTCCCTTTGGGTTCTTTCATATATTTAAACTAGACTTGGACAAGACACCCTTCAAAGAGTACATGGCTACCCTAATTTTGTGACAGTTTTACAAGGGGAAGAGCAATTGCTCACTGCTGTTTCTGCCTATATGTTGAACAGTTCTCAGATGCAGTGTAGCAGAAATCATACTGGAAAAATCATTTTGTAAAGATTGTGAAACTGAAAGATGAATGCTTGGTTTATTCCTACTGTGTGAGTCTGCATTTGTAAACAATTGTTTCTCCTCCGTTTCAAGGTAAAAAAAGAGTAACAAAACTTCAAGTCGACACATGACATGAAAGTAAAAGGATAAAAGAAGTCCTAACATCAGGAAATGAGGTAGCAATTTTTTTGTAGAAGAAAATGTTAAGCTTATTGCAAGAGACATGTCCAAATGTGTTGCTTAATTTGTTATGGTCCACAAACACATTAAGTATTTTAAATATATATTCCAACATGTTTCTACATCTTAACTCTTTTTATCAATATCAGCTCTCAGTAAGTTGTTGGGAATTAACAGAATTAACAGTTCTGGATATAATTTTTCAAAAGGTCATGAACTTGGTTGTCATATCAGAAGCTCAGAAAAGTAAAATGGGCCCGGAAAGAGTGTTTCTTCTCCACTACACTTGTGAAACTCTATGGTTAATTTTGTTTTAAAAATTATTAAATTTCCTTTCAATTTAAATTGCAATTCTAAAATCTTAGACTTTTATTTTTTTTTTTTTAATAAAATTTTTATTTGGTTTTCTGCTTTTATAAAGACAAAACATACACAAAGAAAAAACAAAGACAAAAACATGTATAAAGTCAGCAAATCCCCATTTCATAACCTTGTTCCCTGACTTCCCCCCACCCCCCCTAATGCATCCCTGTTTCAAGATTATGTCAGCAAGTTGATATTTCTCCTCTTAACAATCTTATTCATCTTATTTCCTTTTTTTTATAATAAAAATTAGTTTTCATAAGTTGGACTTAAGTTCTCTTCCATCGATTTTCATTTTATCTTAATTAAGAGTCATCTTAACCAAACCTAAAAGTCTTAAGAGTTTTTAAGAGTCTCTTCTTCCCTCCCTCCCATCCCCGGTTTTTGTCCCTTCCCAATAAAAATCCAAATTCGAAGTTCTCAGCCTGGGTTCCTCACGTCCGAGGCTTTCAAATCTATTTCCGTTCCTCTCCGCCTGTCCTGTTGGTAGTCCTTTACAGCAGTCGTCAGATCTGGGAAAAGTTCTTTCACCATCAAAATATGTCCTCTTCCAACAAGAAGATTCAAAGGTGGCTGCTGAAGTATTTCCACAAAGTCTATCTCTTCCAAGTCTAAGTCCAAACGGAGGCCCCAATCATATTTCTTTATTTTAAATTCCTGTACTCCATTTTGTCTTGGGGCCTCCTCCTTCTTCTTCTGTATCTCTCGCAGACTTGTGGTGAATATGTTCCCAGCGTCTCCTTGCTTGTATTCCACAGATGTCAACTTTTGGTTGTTACTTCCCAGGATTACTTCTTCTTTTTCTTGTTGTTTAGTCTCTTCCAGCTCTGTAGATATTGTTTCCCAATCAGCTGTGGATTCTTTCTCATTGAGGTCCTCAATACAAAGAGCAGAGTTGCCTGTTCCCAAGGTCATAGTCTCAAGTTGTTTGTTCATGGCCAAACTCTGCTCCTGTAAGATTCCCACCAATTGAAACATCCTTTCGATTTCCACTAGTAACTTTCCTTCCACAGCCATTGTATCCATTGTAGTTTCACAGAGTTCCCCCTAGGGGGAATCTGGTTACTTATTTGCCTTTTCACCAACAATCCTTAAACTGATTATTATTACTTTGTTTCCAACAGTTTCAGCTCAATTATAACTCGTCTTAGTCCATAAAAATCTTAAATGGCAATTTCTCACTTTAAACCGCCCGTTTGGCAGCTTTGACAGCTGTCAAACTCCGCAGCTCTAACGCAGGCACGAAGGCAGGACGTTCCCGAGCCCGGGCGGGGGGGTTGTTTAAAACAGAAGGAAGGTTTCCAAAACTCCACTCTCCTGCACAAAATTTTCCTTTAGTAAAATCTTGAAAGTTAGTGTCCTTTTTAACTCACCCCACCAAGGGTAGGCTCTCCAGCTTATCTCTTGTGTCGTTGCTTAGATGGTCTGCAAGGGGGGGGTGCGGACTTCCTTTTAGCACACCCCCCGGTCGTCTCCAATTAAAGGTAAAGTTTTTCAAAAGTCCCAATCCGTCTTACTCACGGGTGATTCTTTCAGTCCAAATTTTCAAGGAAGGAAGTCAACGCTCTCCGGTCATGGCTCGTGGCTTCGCTCCACCGAGGTAGCGATCGACTCTCAGTGCCACGCCACCCCCGTATCCCCTCCGCAGCCTTTAAAAAGGCTCTTTGCGAATCAGGGGGGGCGCTTAAGGCACCCGCCGAGTCTTCAGTCCGCAGGCTTCAGCGCCTGCGGTTTTAAGGGTCCCCGCGTCGCCGGCGCGGCAAAGACCCATCCTCAGTGGAGCCGATTCCCTCCGGAGCTCGGAGGGAATCCGCCATTTCCAGATCGCGTCAACCCGGAAGTTTCTAAAATCTTAGACTTTTAATGGCATTCTTATTTCGGCTATAGCTAACTTGCAAAACTCATATGCCTAAGGTGGAGAGTTCATTTTTACAGCAAGGATTAGATCATTTGAACCCATAAAAGCCCAGTTCACCATTGTGGGCTTTGGCACAGATGAATCTCAGCTAACCCCACCCCACCCACGTCTTTTTATTTATTTTAAAAATGTTGTGTGGAACCACCTCCTGGCTGAGATCACTCAGGCCCCCCTTCCTTTTAAACTTCAGGTACTTGACAAAGATATTTCTATTTCAGCAGGCATTTTAAGTAAGTTGTAGTTTGCATAATTTGTGGTATTGCTTTCCACACCTATGTCACAAGGCTATTTACAAAATGCAAAAAACAACAATAACCCACCAGTTACATATCAGCAAATAAATTTAAAAACAATACTAAATAAACACCTGTGGCACAGACCTGTTCTTTCAGCTGGGAAAACATGAGTGAACAAAAACGTTTCCAGTTGTTTCTGGATAAATGCAGATAGTGGGTGACTATAGAGCTTACAGTTTGACCTGTGGTTTTTGTTTGCTTTAAATACTGTATTATTTTGAGTGATCGGTTGTTTTATTGATTATATAAACCACTCTGTGACCAAGTATGGTGAAATATAAATAATGGAAATAAATAATAATAAAAATCAAGTTGAAACAATTGACATTCCGTTTATCACATATTTAACACTCTAGTGCCAAGCTAATGTGTAAATACTGAGTGGGATTCCTTTCTATTAACAGCATCTCTGTCTGTCTTTCTCAACATCCCTTCTTAAAGAAATAAGCAACATAACTCAAATGTAATGCAAGGATATGTCATGTTTTGTGTGCTAGGGTTGTAGCCAACTAAGTAATACTCAGAGTAGACCCATTAAAATTAATGTGCTTAAGTTATACATGCTCATTTATTTTAACGGGTCTACACTTAGAAGGATTAACATTGGCTAAACGCCATAGTCCCAAGCCATGGAAAGCACGTTACCTGAAAGCCAACAATTCTAGAGACTAAAAAAAATTGTATAATAATTGCTGATACCACTGCTTACTACCTCTGATGCCTGCAGTTCTTGGCTTTACTCTTTTTAAAATACGATTAGTCTGTAGTTGTAACTTATGCACCCTTGTAAGTATGTAACAAAGATGCTAGCTTGAGGGAAGAGAGCTAGAAAGGGAGCAGTTGTTGGAACAAATTCTAGTTCTCTTTAGACATTCATATAGACAATAAATCCAATGATATAAATCAAGCACCAAACATACTATATGCATACTTCATTTGTAGACGAGGAGGGAGGGCCAGAAAGGGCAGCATGTGAAACACAGGTGTCAGCATTTGCTGAGGAAGAACTGGTACATTATCAACTAATCCACCTTCTGCTATTTGTGATTTCCTCCCCAACAGCTGTGGCATTAAATAAGAGCTCACTGCATTTGGGAAGAATTAGAGAACTTAATGGGGATAGGGGTACCACTGCTGAAGCATTGGGGAAAGACAGGGGAAGTGGGGATTTTGGAGGAAATGTTAGACACTTGGGGTGGGAGTTGGGGGAGAGTTCATTATTCAGCTGTGCTTCTAGATTTATCAGTGGGAATTGCTATGGTTCTTTGTTCTTGTCTTTCCACTAAGGCTGATATGGCACTATACATGCACCGTAGGCTCTTTTATGGTCTACTGAGAGAGTCCTAGGGAGTTTATTTTAATTGCAGAACAGAGTTGGTGTCGACTTCTGCCAGCTGCTAACAGGAGCCCTCCAAGATAGGCTAGATAACATACACAGATTCTTGTGCTAACTGCTTTATAGAGAGATTCATTCTTTGAGTCAGAAAGAGGTGATTATATACATCCTAATTATATGCATCTTTACTCAGAAGCAAGTGTACATAGTACTGCAGCCATAGTGATAGATCTCAGTTTATTTAACCTGTTCCATTGTTCTTATGCAAGAAAATGTTGACTTTTTAAAGACTAGGGCGTGCAACCTGTAGGCCAATATTATTCATAGTTTTTCAAAATAAAGAACCGCTGAGTGAAATAGGATTTACTTCAAAGTAAGTGTGCACAGGATTGCAGATTGAAGTTTGGGTCAGAGAACTTACTGTTTTGCACAGGGCTATATTACCATATTTCAAATCTGCATATACTCCTGACTTTGTTACTGGAGAGGACACCTGGTTAGGCACCACTGAAGTACTTATATAATTATACAGCTGGAATAAGGTACTGGTAGGATAGCAGTTCTTTGAATTTAAAATGGCTGCCTTTGCTGTTGATGTATACCCTTAATGGCCAATGGGGGAACATGTGACCCTTGTATGTCATGGAACATTATCTCCCATTAGCCCAAGTCAGCATGGCTAATACTCAAGGCTAATGGGAGTTGTAGTCTATCAACATTTGGAGGGCTACATGTTCGCTATTCTTGAAGAGTATCCTAATGAGGAGTGACCTTAACTATTACCAACTTTGAAGACAAACTCATCTGTATACCAGTGTCTTTTCTATGTATGTTTCAGGGAACTTTGTGGGTTTTTTTAATACTTATGAAGAGTGGGGCCACAGTTAGGGTGATGGTAAAGGCGTAAAGTGTCCCATCCCTCATGTTGCGATCTGGAATGGGATGAGGTGCACACTGCAATTTGTGTAAAAAACAAAACAAAAAACCTGCACATTAATATTCACAGATACTTAGCTAATGTATCATCCATCTAATCTGACTCTCAAGCGCCTGTGTTCTCCTTCTATGTAGCCAGGAAGAAGAATTCAGTGGAATTTCATTTTTCTTGTACAGAATCTTGGCTCCTTGCTGTGTAGGAACCAGAGGTCAGTTTCAAACTCTGGTCAGTTTCAAAATAGCTTAAGAAGAAGCCAGGATTCTATGGAAGTGAAACTAAATGCTGTCAGTGTCCTCCTCTAAGCAGTGCAGGGAGAGGGGAAGGGGCAATGTGCCAGCTGAAGTCTTGCTGGGGCTCATTCCAGTTCAGACATGTATCACCAAACCATAGTTTAGTGATACATGCTACATAGGCCATTACTACATAGGCTTACTCCTTGGCAAATGTGTATAGAACTGCAGCCTAAAAAATTGGTTTTAGCTAGCTGAGAAGCTTTCGTTTTCTAAGCTTCTGCATGGAAAATTTGAGTGGAATGCTGACATGGACAGATTGTGAAATGTGGCATGGGCTTTGCCACAGTAATTCCACACTTCTTTATAGCAAAGTTTTTTAAAAATAAATAAATCCAAGTGTCCCATAACTTATAAGGGATATTTCTTTACCACCTGCTGCTATGAGCAACTTGTGGAATGATTTGTTTCACATGAAACCATGGTGTTCAAGTGGATCACCCATACAGTTTTCGATGCAATTTGCTTGCACGGAATTAAGACTTTTACTTCTGAGTAAAAAGGGTTAGTATTTGGTTGTTGATCATAGAAATACCGAAAGAATCATAAGCTACTGTTCCTCAGCTGTATATATGCCAGTTGTACAGATAGTGCAGCCTAAGTGCATGTTTTCACATGCCTTCTGCTCACTTTAACATTGAATTCAGTTCTCATGAGTGCTTCTGAAGGGCATAAATTTACCCCCTTGCATATTTGCTGTCTCACTTTCAGCACACTGTTTTTACTTTTCAAAGCATAGAATGACATAGTCTGTAATGCTCTCTTCCCCCACTTGCTGATGCCTCCTGACTATCAAACTTTATCGATGGATGACGGCAAACAAAACACAGTCTGGGAGACGTGCCTTGGCACTGGGATGATGTTCCTAAATACAAGCACCCACTTAACCACATGCAGCCTTTTACCTTCCACCTGTTAGAATAGTAGCCTAATGTATTTCACATATGTTAGTGATAAATACCACCCTCATAAATCATCTGATGGTGTCTTTCTCATGAACTGGAGATAGTCAGCAATTCAGACTTGCCAGCTTTGGATTGAGAAACTCTATAGTCACTTGAGATTGTGTGTCTTTCTCTCTGGCATTTTTCCCCCACATGGTAGTAGTTTTTGATCCATCCTATGCTGATAGGAATTTTATCAGTGCTGTATGTACCCTGCACAATGCTATATATTTTCATGCAATTCTGAAGAAAGCTAACCAAAATTTGCCAGCAAGAGAAGTATTATTTGAAAAGGATATACAGAACAAGCAACTTTGTATGATGCTTACTTATTCTGTTGTAATTTAGTCTGCTTCTGATAGTTAAACCCTAAAGATCATAGAGTTGGTCATTAGTTCAATCCCTTGCCAAGGCAGGAAATCCACTGTTACAGTATCCCTGATAGAATCATAGATTCACAGAATTGTAGAGTTGGAAGGGACCCTTAGGGTCATCTAGGCCAACCCCTGTTATTGCAGGAATCTCAACTAAAACATCCATGACAATGGCCATGCAACCTCTGCTTTAAAACCTCCATGGAAGGAGAGTCCACAACCTCCTGAGGGAGTCCGTTCCACTGTCAAACAGCTCTTACTGTCAGTAAGTTCTTTCTGGTGTTTAGTCGGGATCTCCTTTCTTTTAACTTAAATCCATTGGTTTGAGTTCTACCCTCCAAAGCAGGAGAAAATAAGCTTGTTCCGTCTTTCATGTGACAGCCCTTTAGATATTTGTAGATGGCTATCATATATCCTCTCAGTCCCCTCTTTTCCAGGCTAAACATACCCAATTCCCTCAACTGTTCCTCATAAGGCTTGGTTTCCAAACCCTTGATCATCTTGGTCATCCTCCTCTGTACATGTTCCAACTTGTCAATATCCTTCACAAATTGCAGTGCACTCTTACACTATAGTGCAACAAAATTGGGACAAAAATAAACTGGAACATTTGTGGTTGGAAAGTTACAGGATTTAAGCAAGAAGGTCCAGGGCATACATTGAATGGAAGCGAAGCAGTATGTCAGTCCCAAAAATTTTGCAGGTTCCAACAGTTGAAAGCAGGATCACATATAGCACACCAACTCTGCCATGATCACAATCATGAATTCATAACAAAAAGGGTATCTGGAGGGGCCCCACAGGCAGTCTGTTCCACCATCAAGCAGCTTAGATTGCCAAGAATTTCTTAAGTTTACAGTATTCCAAATCATTTTCTTGTAATTTTAAACCCATTGGTTTGTGTTCTGTCTCTGGAGCAACAGAAAACAAATTTGCTCCATCATCTGACACCCCTTCAAATGTTTGAAAATGCCTATTGTATCATCTCTTAACCAACTCTTCTGCAGACTAACAGACGCAACTCTTTAAACCTTTCCTGAGCATGGTCTCCAGGCTCCTTCAGATTGCAGTCTTCATCTGCTAACCTCAGCCAGTTATATGCAATCTTATTTTCTGCCTTATGTCTCTGTTTTTTCCTCTTCCCTCTCACTTTTTCCTTGTCTCTCTCCAGCCGCTCCTGTTCTTTCTACTTAACCATCTTTCCCCTTAAAAAAAAAAATCCTGTTAAAGAAGAAGGATGGTTATGCCTCTCTGGTGTGACCCACTTAAATTTGGCTTGCAACCAAGTTTGAGGTCCTGACCCATCAGTTGAAGATCAGTGCTCTAGAGTAACTAGACCTCAGAGATTAAAAAGGCATTAAAAAAATGAATGAACAGTTCCAGCAGTTTAGAAGAAAACAGACAAAGGAAATAGGGAGGAGGGGAAATTTTTGGTTTATTTTTAGAATCTGTGGGTGTGTATTATTGTCAACAATGTCTGTATTTATCGCTGCAGAATGTTTTATCAAAGTGTGTGATTAGAGCTATATAAATTATTAGATATCTACCCAAATGCTACGTGCAAAACCTCAAAAACGCCAACACTTTCCCCCACCCCCACTCTCCTTACACAAAGACATGCAACCCAACCCTAGTGTTAGTTCTGGGTTTGAAATTTTCCTTTGCCAGGAACTAACTCACTAGGTGGCTGTAGGCCAGTCACTGTCTCTCAGTGCTTTAGTTCTCCCAGGTGGGGATAGTAATGCTTACTAAACTGTAACCCTTTGCACGAACAGTGAGAGCATTTAAGGAGTTTCCCCAGGCCTGGACTTGGCTTTGCTGCTGGGTTCCCATATGGTAGCTGTGCTGAGGAGTGATTTTGCTCAGCAGTGGATGGTGTGCCAGCTGCCCAGGTTTGGGAGGAAGATGGGCCTAGTATTTGATCAGACATGTCTTCATTATACAGACACTAGACTACTATAGCATGCTTTACATAAGGTTGCTTCTGCAAACCATCTGGAAGCTACAGCTAGTATATAATGCAGCATCTCACTCATGCCAGCTTTCTGGAGAATGGGGCTTCTCTTTTATATCAGTTGCACTTCCTGATGGTCAGTTTCTGAGCATGGTTCAAAGTGCTGGTTATCACTTTAATAATCCTAAGGTTGGGAGCAAGAAGCTTAAAGCAGAAGGGGGCAGTCTTCAGACTTTTGGCCTCTACTTAGTTCCTTACTTTATTGTGATTTGTCTTCTTAATAACACTGGTTGCGGGTTTTTTGTGTTGATTGCTAAGATAATTATTCTAAGCATTTTTGTGTGTGTCCCCCCCATTCTAAGCATTTTGAAAATGTAAAAGGTGTTATGTATAAGTACTTATTTTATTATGGCCCATAGGATATTAGAAGACTTGTAAGGTTTTAGCCAACTAGCAGATACTAACTGACTCTTGATTACAACATAATCAAAACAAGTTAATCTCTGAGGTCCACCAACTAGAACCAGGTGCAAAATGGTGGCTGAGGAGGTGGTGATGGAGCCAACTGTCTACTGGACCCCATGTGGTATAAACAGGGAAAACCTGCAGATATAACTGAGTGGCTCCAGGCTATGAATTTTCTAATTTAGAAGTAAAAAATAAGCTTTTTTCATTTTTGCCATTGCTGAACAACTAGAAATCAATTCTTTCTAATCTATTGCAGATAATATTAGATCTACTTGTAGAACTCAATCTACCATCTGTCTGTCCACCTCTTCTCTTCTCATATCAGCAGATTCATCCACTAAGGTACTGTCCTCTTTATGCATATCCCATTTCCATGCAAGATCATGCAATAGGGCTTCTCAGTTGTGGCACCTAATTTTTGAAACTCCACACCCCAGAAGATCCACTTAGCATACTCCTTGATGAACTTTTACCACTACCTGAAAACATCCTTATTCCAGCCTTTGACCTGACATTTTGATGTTTCTCTTTCCCCCCTCTGTTTCTCTTTGTTAATTTGCTATCTGTTTCCTTGGGTTTTGTTTCTAATAACATTGATTTGTGTTTTTAATTGCCCTGATTACAAGATTACCAAGATAATTATTTGAAGCATTTTGAAAATCCAAAAGGTGCTATGCATAAGAACTTGTTTTATTATGGCCCATAGGAAATTAGAAGGCTTGTGACATTTTAGCCAACCAGATTGAATAGTAACTGTGCTTCACTTTACAACAGAATCAAAATAAGTTAATTGTTAACTATAAACATTGAATAATTTGCAGGCACTTAAAATCACCAAATAGCCTTAAACCAGGCAATTACATGCATATGTCCCTATAAATTTATCTTGGTCTCTGTGCTGCAAATGTGAAGTATTCCTGTATTTTATTTGTTTACTACTTTTCAGACAATTATCCTCACCCAAAGCTGCTCACGTGAATAGAAAAGAGGAAAGCAGGATATGCCACCAGGCTTACAAAGTAAAGACAAGACACAGAAGCGAAGGGGAAGTCAGTTATTCAAGGCCATAACAAAGTGCTGAACATGATACCCAGCTCAGGTAAGGTTGATCTTCGTGTGCTGGGGTTCTTGCTTGATTAACAGTTGGCGGTTTTTGTTCCTTTGGTCATTAAATGGGATCTGAGTGTCCTTTCCCGCTTGTTTCTTCAGTCCCAAGCAAACTGGCCACTAGAACAGTGTTATTTCTGCCAGGGCATTGGGTAAGCAAACTGTTATGTCCATCCACGATGTCAGAAAGTGGTGCAGTTCAGAGTGTGGTTTTAACAGGCTTGATGGGGGGGGGGGAACAGGTCCTGCTCTTAACGTGGTATGTGTATTATTTTACCTACTGCAACATGTGGCAAGCCAGCTGTGCTGTGTATGAGGTTCCTTTGGTCCAGCCCCAAGGTGCCCTGATGGCACCACTGATGGCAGTGTAATTTGGTTGTGACTTAGGCGGACAAAAACCCTCCTTTGCAGAATAACTGTTAAGATCTGACAGGCAGCATCTGCAATAATGGTCTTACTCAGGCATAGGCAAACTCGGCCCTCCAGATGTTTTGAGAATACAACTCCCATCCTCCCTAGCTAACAGGTCCAGTGGTCAGGGATGATGGGAGTTGTAGTCCCAAAACATCTGGAGGGCCAAGTGTGCCTATTCCTGGTCTTACTTAATCATAAAATAGCAAGGTGTGCATATTAAGTTTGTTAAGTATGGCATAGCTCCCGCATGGAAAAGATACCAATGCAAAGTAAAGCTCTAAAAAACATGGGAGCCAGAGATTATTTTGAGGAAATGTGATACAGGTTTATTTAGTACATCAGAAGAGACAGTATAACAATGAGAACACCAGCAACTCATGGCTCTCTCTGAAACAACTTGTTCGGATCAGAATAGATAAGAATGCTCAACAGTCACAACTATCCAAAATCCAGCACATGACCTTCACTTTTACTTATCTTTTTTGGAAACAGACATGTACACATGGAATATATTGGGGAAAGGGGGGGAGATGGGAATTTGTTATGAAAGTACAAGTATATAAACAATGCAATATTTTTAATGCAAAAATAAATATTATTTTAAAAAATGTTTGTCAGCTAAGGCAAATTTTGCTTTATGAAAACATCTCCCAATCTTACTTTAAATTTGGCAGTGGCAACCTCAGAACTGTATATCTGTGTGTAGATATGACACACACAACATATATACGTTTGTGAATGTGTTTACACACACACACACACACACACACACACACACACACTGAAGGGGGAAAATGTTAAAGCAATGCATTTTTGGGAGCCAACTACCTCCTTTTATGGAATCATTTAAAGATTGCTCCTTGAGGCAAAGTTTAGGTAATCTCTGGTCCCTCGTGGCTTAGATTTTGAGCTCAAAATAGAACATATACAAATAAGCTCTCATAACAACTGGCAACACATCTGTTTCATTATGTAGGAGAAGAACAGAAGGCGATCCCTTTGGGGTCACCAAAATAAGTATATAAAGTAAATACCACACAGAGAGGAAATGTTTGAAAAAGGTACAGTATAGCTAAGAGACGGGCTGCTTACACACCGATACATTTAGAGCACATCCCCCGGCACTATGTCTTCTCTAAAATAATGCTTGGGACAGTAGTTTACCCTTCACAGAGCTATAATTCCCATCACCTTAACAAACCACAGCTCCCAATATACTTTGGTAGGGGAAACTTATTTTAAATGTGCTTTAAGTGTATGGTGTGTATGCAACCAGTGTAGCCGACACAAGCCTGTACTTCAAGTAATATTAATCAGAAGCCTGTGGAGAAACATTTATTATAGAAATATAAAACAAGCACTGAAAAGAAAATAGGTGAGTCGTTTACTTTGCCAAAAGAGCTGTTTCCCCTTTATCTGCAAACTGAGGGCATGGCTTTCCTTTTGTTACTATTCTTTTTCTTCTTCTTTTAAAGCTTTTAAATACTGAATGGTCAAAGGTTTGTGTTTGTCGTTTGGTTGATATTGATTAGTCAAACGGCAACCCTAGAAGATACTGAATTCATAGCTCTTAATGAACCACCTAGAAACTGCAGAACAACAAATACAAAAAATAAATAAATAATGGCAGTCTTCCAAATGATTCCTGAAAATGAAGTAATGTCAGTGTTACTGCTGCTGGGTCAACGGAGAAGTAGATTTCTGAGAGACAGTAAAATGCTTGGTATATATGACCTGCTTTGGGAATGACTTGGAATCTGATCTAATCCTTGTGGGGGTAGGGAGTGCAATCCTGGGCTGGTGCTGTAAATTTATTTTAAGTGGATGTCCTTTGCTCCACATTCTCACAAACAACTGGGGAATATATTATAGTTGTTGCTGAAAGCCATGGAGAGCACATGAGAGAGCAAATAATACTCTTGTTTGTTATGTTTATAGTACACTTTGTTATAGTGTGCCTTAATGTAAAAATAATTTAAAACATGAGCAAAAAAAAAAAGAAAATTATTGGTAGAAATGTTTCAACAAAGAATGGGTTTTTGGGAAAGACCATTAATATTCTTAGAAAGTGGGTGGTATGGTGGTATTTCTGCTTTAGTTTCTTTAAAAATAAATATCAAAAATTAGGTAAGTGTGAGAACAGGAAACATCAAACCCACTTTTTTGTATGAATCTGTGACAAGGAAACTGCTGGGCAAATTGACATGCTCTCTTGCACATCTGCTTTCTCCTAATTCAATTCTAAATTCATATGATGCATCACCATGTTTTGAATTTTATACTAAACCACTGTCTGCTCATTTAAGCACAATTTCAAAAGAAGAAGAAGAAGAAGAGTTTGGATTTGATATCCCGCCTTTCACTCCCTTTAAGGAGTCTCAAAGCGGCTAACATTCTCCTTTCCCTTCCTCCCCCACAACAAACACTCTGTGAGGTGAGTGGGGCTGAGAGACTTCAAAGAAGTGCGACTGGCCCAAGGTCACCCAGCAGCTGCATGTGGAGGAGCGGAGACTCGAACCCGGTTTCCCAGATTATGAGACTACCGCTCTTAACCACTACACCACACTGGCTCTCAGCAACTCCCCTGTATACTGACAAAGCAGACACAAAAGTGATCCTCAGATTGTTTTTAATTCTTTTAATTTATTTTTAAATTTATTTTTAGATTTTTGCAATTATAATGGGAAAAGAGAGAGAAACAACATCAGTTGACAGCATACTCTGATTGTGAGTTTTGAGGAGATTTTGAGCATCACATGAGAAGGCAAAAGAAGAGGTAACTGGGCTTACTAATTAACCAACATTTTGAAGTGATAAAAGTTATTATAAGGGAATGCTGCACTTTGAATTACATATAGTGAATACTCTTATTGCAGGGCGAGAGCTGGTTTTTTGTTATGTGTTCAGTGCAGTTGTGCCAGCTTTCCCTGTACAAAAGGTGTACAAGCAATATATTCAGTATGCAAAACAAATAAGATTCCTTTGTAGTGTCTTCGCCATACCAAAAAATATTATGAGTATTTAATCTCATTCTTTTGTTTTGGATATTAATTGCCTAATTTGAGTTGAAAATGTGCTTTTGCCTAGTCAGAGTGGCTAGTTACTCTAGTGGACACTTTGTCATATGGGTTTGTGTGTGTGTGTCACTAGGTCCTGTATATTTGACATCTATCTACAGTAAGTGGCTTTGGCTTGCTTTGTTACACATTGACTTTCTGTATACATTCTTTTCTGCAATCTGGTTGCTTCTAGACAACCTGTTTGCTGAGCAATCATCCTGATTTGTCTGCTCAAAGTTTGCAAGAAAGTTAGACGGTGCAGACTATTTATTAAACGTCAAGCAATCCTTATCCTACACTTTCACATGCATTTTTCCACCACCTCTATGAGAAAAAAAAAAGATTGACTGGCAGTTTTGGGGAAGCAGATTTGTTCCATAAGTGCTCCAAAATGGAAGAACATAGGAAGCTGCCATATACAGAGTCAGACTATTGGTCCATCTAGCTCAGTACTGGCTACATTGACTAGTTTCAGACACATTCACAGACTTACCTGAGGATGCTGGGGACTGAACCAGAGAACTTCTGCATGCAAAGCAGATACTCTACCACTGAGGCTCCATTCCTTTCCCTAAATTACGGTAGCTACATTTTTATGCAACCTAAGTTTGCTGGTGTGTGATTGAATTCCACCTGAAAACAATTACAGTCTGGAACTGCCTTCTCTTCGACTGGATGGGGGCACACAAGATTGGTTGGTCCTCAAAGCACAGCAAACATTGCCCCCTTTTGCCCCTACATTTATGTGATTGTCTATAATATCACCCCTTCGTGCTCCTCAGTTTGCTTGGTCTTCTAGTATGATTCTCCTCTGCTCTCTCCATTCTCCCATCCCCCCACCCTCACCCCCGGTACTGGCATACTCCAAGCAATTGAAGCTGGTTGTTAACTTCTTCCCTGCAGTTGTCACTGATCCTTTCCAAGTAAAACATTACACATGGAAATTAGAACATGCTTGGCACCCGTCTCTGGTGGAAGGTGAAGGGGGTGGGAAGCTATTGAGAGGCGATGGTCATGACCAAATGTCAGCCCCGGAGAGGTCCAGCTGGTGAAAGTTTATGCTGTGTTTTCAGTTTGTGTTTGTTTAGACAGACCTGAAAGCCAGAGCCGGATCACAGAGTTTTGGCAAGGTAGAAGGGCACCAAGTTTACAGCGCACATTAAAGCAATGCTTTGAAGTCATATGAACACTGGATGTTCCTATTTTGTTTAAAAGTGTATGCAAGCCTCATTTCTCTGCTCCCCCCCCCCAGGCAGCTCCTTTTCAGGGAGAAAACCCCTCTGAACAGGGTTCAGGCGTTACCCCATTTTTAGAAATGAAGCCATTTTAACCTTATGGACATTCAGATAATAATGTGGCAGGGAGCAGAGGGTTCTGAACAGAAGAAGAAGAAGAGTTTGGATTTGATATCCTGCTTTATCACTACCTGAAGGAGTCTCAAAGCAGCTAACATTCTCCTTTCCCTTCCTCCCCCACAACAAACACTCTGTGAGGTGAGTGGGGCTGAGAGACTTCAAAGAAGTGTGACTAGCCCAAGGTCACCCAGCAGCTGCATGTGGAGGAGCGGAGACACGAACCCGGTTCCCCAGATTACCAGTCTACCGCTCTTAACCACTACACCACACTGGTTCTCAGTGTTATTTTTAAGTATTCAGGTTTTGTAACAGAAACCTATGTGGTTGGCTCATTTAGTCATTTTATTTAGGTTATCATGCCTGATGTTTACGTGGGTTTGTTTTCCATCTTCTTACTCATGTGGATCAGAATAACATAGGAAGAGCCTGATTGCTAGATCAGGCCAAAGGAGCATCTAGTCCAGTATCCTATTATCACTGTAGCCAACCTGAGGCCAAATGTGCACATGATTCATTTAAATCACATCACCTCCCTCACAGAATCCTGGGAACAGTAGTTTGTTAAGGGTGCTGGGCATTATAGCTCTGTGAGGTCTAAACTACAGTTCCCAGGATTCTTTGGGGGATGTCATGTGTTTTAAAAATAGGGTGTGGATTCAGAGACACTCTCCATTGTTCGGCATTGGGGGTATGGGAAGTCGTCCTCCCATTCTCTCCTACACCAAGTGAGATAACACATTTGAAAGCAACAGGAACTTTGCAAGCAATGCCTCTGAAGCTGTGGAATGACTCCCAATGAGGTTTGCAACTTCTCTGATCCTATTGACTTCTTGGAGGGAAGGCAAAGCTTACCTTTTCTGAAAGACCTGTTCTGAAAATTCCTGTCCTACGCAGAGGGAATCTAGAGCACTTTCAATTGCCATCTTGAGGCAAAAAAGTTGAGAGGGAATTCTGGCAGCATAACTTTCTACAATGAGACTTAAGGGGGTTGGCTGTTTTTCCCACCACACATCTTCTGTCAAAAGTTACGTTATGTTACTGTTACGTTACGTTATTTTATATGCCTCCTTTTAGCCAAAAAAGGCTCCCAGGGCATCTGCCAGAGAATGGCACACAAATTCAAATACCTATTATAAGAATTCAATACAACAAAAGTTTAACATTTCAGAAGCTATTAAAAACCACATACATTCATGTTCCTGCCAGTAAGGCAAAGGGCAGTTCCCACAAGATGTCTGAGAGAACACATACTTAGGCAGCATCTCCTCCTTGTAAGGTCCCAGGCAATCTCTCCCTTTGTAGCAAAGTGGCCCTCTAGAGCAGTGTTTCCCAACCTTGGGCCTCCAGCTGTTTTTGATCTACAATTCCCATCATCCCTGACCACTGGTCTTGCTAGCTAGGGATGATGGGAGTTGTAGTCCAAAAACAGCTGGAGGCCCAAGGTTGGGAAACACTGCTCTAGAGCACCTACCTTCTTAGCAAACACAGTATACTATCCTTTGGCAAAATAAAAGTCTTTCCAGAGTTAGCCATGGACAGGGGTCAGCAAACTTTTTCAGCAGGGGGTCTGTCCACTGTCCCTCAGACCTTGTGGGGGGCTAGACTATATTTTTGGGGGAAATGAGCAAATTCCTATCCCCACAAATAACCCAGAGATGCATTTTAAATAAAAGCACACATTCTACTCATGTAAAAACACCAGGCAGGCCCCACAAATAACCCAGAGATGCATTTTAAATAAAAGCACACAATCTACTCATGTAAAAACACGCAGATTCCTGGACCGTCCGTGGGCTGGATTTAGAAGGTGATTGGGCCAGATCTGGCCCCCGGCCCTTAGTTTGCCTACCCATGGACTAAATGCTTACATCCCTTTATCAAAAGATTGCCTTGAGGCCAAGAGAGACTTATTCTGATAGTTGCTCTGTTTGTTTTTCTTACTGACTGGGAACATGATGTCACAGGTCAAACCATGCCCAGAGATGTTGCAACTTCAGCTTTGCTTCCCTTTCTTCAGAAGCACTAAGAGGATCAGGAATGCACAGGTCTGGTCTCATCACCTTGAAAAGTATATTTAAGTGTTGGAAGAGGTTCAGAATAGAGCAACCAAAATGATCAAGAGGCTGGAGTGACTTACCTGTAAGGAAAGCTTGCAGCTTTTAAAATTTTGCATGGCATAGAGAAAATGGACAGGGGAATGTTTTTCTCCTCTCATAACTAGAACATGGATATCTAGTGAAGCTGAATGTTGGAAGAATCAAGACTGATAAAAGAAAGTACTTCTTCATACAACAATGTGGAACTTGCTTCTACAGGAGGCAGTGATGGTCTCCAACTTGGACGGTTTTGAAAGAGAATTGGACAAACTCATGGATGTCAACACTACTAGCCATGATGGCTACACTCTGACTCTGTGGCTGAAGGCAGTAATGTTTCTGAATACCAGTGGCTGGAAACTGCAGGAAGGACAATGCTTTTGTGTGTGGCTCCTGCTTGTGGGTTTCCCGCAGGTATCCGGTTGACCACTGTGAAAACAGGATGATGGGCTAGACTGGCCATTAGCCTGATCCAGCACACTCTTATAATGTTTTTAATGGACGGAATGAAACACTTGCCAGTCACTAACAGCTTACCTCCAAGTAAGGGCTGATACAGCCTGGCCTCCTAGCATAGCTCAACCTCAGCTGCCAGTGTTTAAAGGTGTTCTGAGATAAATTCATTACAAGGAGTTCTTTTACTCATGACAACTTTTAGCCTTCAGGTGTGCACTTTGCTGTGGAACTATGACTTGCACTTTTAGGTGCCTGCGCTCTTGAAAGATGGGGCAGAGGTTATTTTGATCTCTACCTTTGACTCAACTGGGGCCTTTCTGTGGGCACTCAGACTGGAATCCAGTCTGAGGGCTGGTCTGGTTTCAAAGACCATGTGTTGAGATTCCTGCATTGCAGGGGTTGACCCTTGGGATCCCTTCCAACTCTGTAATTCTATGATTCAGGGTTGGCAACTCTGAGGAGCTGGTGCCCAGCTTTGGGTCAGGGCTGGACTTGAGGTTGCTGTACATTGTATTTTCTCATTTATCCAATAAAATCATGGGAATGTGTGCAATTATTGCTGCACAGCTTCCATTCAAATGGCTGGTGACTTGGTTCCTGATAAAAGAGCAAAGGAATATGCATTTTGTCAGATAATTCCATCAAAATCACCTTGGAACCTGTTCAAGTTGTCATTATTTTTTTAAGGCTTAAAGCCACTTCCTGTGCCCCAAACTATTTTTTGTTTGTTTGTTAATTGCAAAACTGATGTGGGAATGTGGAAAACTGGAGACTGGAAACATGAGAAATTTAGAAAAACTGAAATTGACTGATT